GTTATTTTTTTGGCACACTTTGGGCCCATTAGTACCAATCCAGGAAGGAGATGCAATCTGGTCCTAGTAAGGTGTACCTAATAAAGTGGCCAGTGAGTGTATGTTGAACAGTTAACATCTACTGAAATGTAGAGAAAATCTGCATATTTAAATAGCATTCTGTTAATTCAATAGAATACATTAATATTGTACTGCCTGCATATCTTTTTTATGTGATACAAAATCTTGAACTTTCTGTCTCCCTCACTCCAATGTGTTTGAATAAAAGTCAACTGAACAAAGAGTGCTGTGTAAACATTACATAGGTCATCAGTCAAATTGACCCTCAACATTTTTTAAGGGAAACTTTAGATTCATTAGCTGTAATTGGTAAATAACCATATAATAAGTGCAGAAACAACACAGATAAATATAATCATGAAAAAAAAAAATCTTATACAAAATAGCAATTTTCCATATCAAACAGCATGACAGACTGTTTATGTAAATAAGGGTGATAAAGAACATTAAAAATCCCACACAAATATGCAAACACAAAGGTTCTGAACAATACTAAATAAGTAATGACTGAAAGTTTTAATTAATTAAAAGAATTAATGCTCATAAATAGCTTGTTTGGCATTTTAAGAGAGATGCAGTGAGACACACAAAACAGCCTATTAAATAATGCAGAATTACTAAACAAATATGATTCTGAGGTAGTTAAATGATGGTCGATAAACCGCACCACTAGGGAAATGTGTTGGAAATGGCAATAATCAATATGTAGCAAAGCTTAATGAATAACATGGTCAAAGGAAATGTTTGTGATCTAAGACTGGAGACTCGAGGGAAATACAGCTTAATGAGGTCAAATAGACACATAAACCTAATAGTAGCTGATGGTTTACTATAAAGACTAATGAAGTGAAAGCTTCTCTGTGCTTTATTTTATGAAGAACAGTTTTGTGGCCTTCATTTGCACACACACGTGAAGTCTAGGGAGTCCCATTAGTAATTTTAGAGTTGCTCATGCATGCCTCATTCAAACTTGTTTGAAAGTTTAATAATCAACAGCAGTCATAAGAGAATTGCATTAGCTGCATGACAAAATATTTGAAACAAAATACAATTATTCTGGAAAAATCTTATATAACAAGAAAAATCTTATAAAACAAAAAAATGAAGCTGAATCATACTTGAAACGTATCAACAGTGTGTGAATATATCCATCCCCTAATGGTAAAAATGAATTAATTCTATTTTCTATAATCACACTTCCTTAACACAGTCGGCAGAAGCACTTTTTAATGATGTGTCATCAGAGAGGGAAAATAACAATGTCTCCCTTATTAGCATAAACAGCCCTGAGTGAGAAGCAGCCATCTGCCATTGGATATTTCAGAGTATAGGATGCATAAAGGAATACCGTAGTCGCCACATTTTTTTGTTTTTCACAAAGATAACATTAGCCCTGTTTTGAATCTGCCAGTATGAGGACACATAACGGTTTGTAGCTCTGCCCTTAATGAAAAAGAGTGCCGTGATCAAAATCTCATTTAAATTTAAAGTGCCAGTTTTAAATAGTTCTAAAAAATTATTTGTTTTGAGCTGAAAATTTACATACACACTATAGGACCATCAGAGACTTGTTTTATATCTTGTAAAAATAGGCATAAGAGGGTATATGCAGAAGTATGCAGAAGGACTTTTAATTTTCAGTAACCTGGGTCAAGCGCTTCCGGTGAACTGAATGTCCTTACAAAATTGGCATGTTTAAGGTCTGTTTTCTTTAAAAAATCAATGATCTTTACTGCCTGACTGATATACACTATAAAGTGGGTCTCAGAATGAGCAAGAAGCACTGCATTAAATGACCCTTTTCCACATCATGTCTTTAAAATATGAAAATGTATTTTACCCCAGTATTTTCAATGGAGTTTCTGCGTTTGCCTGGTGATTCTGACGACGCAAGCGGTCTATCTCGTTTTACTTTTGAACAACTAAATGAGTTTATTTGACTGATTGTATTAAAATTACATTACAACATCAATGCTGTAAGAGGAATTGTATAAAATTGAAAAAAGTCACATTAAGCTTTCACCAGAAGTTCATTGGTATGGGAAGAAACACTAGCTGTGCATATAGCCTATAGGTCCTTTAATAAAATAACATATACTGCCATGTCAGTGCTGTGGAGAAAAACAGCTTTAAAACCACTTTAATAATGATCACAAACATAAAAAAATGTATATTCACAATCTAAAAATATTTAAAAAGAACAGATTTTCTTACAGTTTTTAACATTTTATGTATTATATTGAAATGTTTTAATTAAAAAAAGGCATTGACTTTAATAGTATTTTTGTCTTTATGATCATCAATGGCTGCTTTTTCCCAACACTCTTCAGAATATCAGAATATAAGTAAAAAGTTCATAAAAATTAGAACCACTTGAGTGAGAGTAAATTGTCAAGACATTGTCATTTTTGGCAATGAATTGTATCTGTAAATTTAAAATTGACAAAAAAAAAGTTTTTCTATTTATTTATTTTTTCTGCAAGTTTATTTATTAGTGTTTAATTTAAATGTGCCATTTTAGACTTTTATCCATGTGGACATGCCTCAGAAATGAGATGCAGATTCATAGGGAAATCCACACGAGGTGCTTTTTAATTAGCAAACAACAAAAGTATTACCACCCCGGGATTATTCTGATTCCATACCTCTATATACATTTCTGGAGAGTACAAAATACATCCTAGAAGCAAAATTGTTTTTGCAGTTTTCATGAATCCACCAGAGGTCGCTGTGTACGATTGTGTAGATCGCAAATTTCGAGTGTTATTCATGCCTGCTCTCCTCGCATAAGTCCACCAGAGGCCGCTGTTGACTGCCTAATTGATTGTCTGACCAACAGACTGATACACCCACTCTCCCCCTTCCCTAAATCCAACCAATAGTATTTTAAAAAGCACTGATTGACCCGCCCACCACCTTCCGTAAACCCATCTGCAGTGTTTTAAATAAAATAATGCAATCCAGAAAAAGAAAACTTTCTTTCTTGCTTTCTGGAACCATTCTTCACCGGACTTGAACCCCATTGCTCTGCATCTTCAGTCCGCCTGCATACATTTCGAGCTACTGGACAAACTGGTAACAGCGGGAAAGCCATCCCCATGGAGGTAAGCGGTCAGCTGGTAAGCGCGATAAGGAACAGTGTCATACCATCCCATAGCGTTCGTTTAAATGATGAAATTAGCCATATGTAGCTCTGACTACATAATTTTCGATCTCCATCAATTGTGTCATCAATCCCGAAACTTCTGTGTGCGTCAAGTTGCCATCAGAGGGGTCAGTGAAAAATAAACTATCTTCAATATTTTGAGATTGGACTGTAATACCAACCTCAGCCACTAGGTGTAAATTCAATATACTACACCTTTAACTAAAAAGGATAAGTGCCTAGTTTGCAATGTATAAAACAGAATTAGCTTAATTGTCATCCTAAATGCAAAACATTACAAATAAACTAACATTTCAGTATGAGCTGTGAGACGGCGAGAGCATCACGATCTCTAGCTTGAGCAGTTTTAAGTGTCATCATCTCTGCTTGAGACTGAAGCATTGCTCTGAATATTCATGTCTGGTGGGGGTGGAAAGATAACAGAGGGAACAGTTGGATTCCCTAAAGCTAAGAGGAGTTATTAAGCCATGTCTTTAGCACGACGATTGGAAAGACGAGAGCGGGATCCTACCAGAGGGCTTCAAGTATCCACTTGTCTGATATACATGACATTCACATAGCAGACAGAAGGCATCTTCAACCTTCAACTTACTGTTCTGTTTAGACATTGCTGTCAGTAATTTGTATGGTTTCTCAAAGATCTTAGACCATAATTTTGACATTAAAGTGCTATTTTATGGCTGTTTGAAGGTATGAGAATTGAGGTGATGTGAAATGTATAGGAGAAAATGAAAGTGTTTTTTTAAATGCAAACATATTGTAAGAGGTTTACAAAACAAAATCAGGAAATAGCACAATACTTTGATTATTATAAATGCAATTACTGTTTATGAATTAGATTCTGTTCTTGGCTTAAATTTGTGTTGAATCTTTTGTTTATAATAGATGCATGGTTTGTAACAATGTCAAATTAGGATTGAATAAAATAAACAACTTGGTAATGAACATTGAATTATTTCCCCTCTAAATGGTTTACATTTCATCGATGTAAATATACGATTGTTTTAAAGATTTCAAAGTGAAAATACGGTAACAAATACTAAGGTGAAAATACATTTTGTTGTCATCATCCAGTCGAGTAGAGTTGAGTCGAGTCTTGTCCTGGTTTGTTCTGTCCTGCCCTGATCCCTGCCAGCCTTTCCAGTCAAGTTTGTTTGTTTGTTTATTTGTTTTGTTAATGTTTCTCCCCTCGGGGTTGTTTTTGTTGCCTTTTGTTTTGTTTTAATAATGAATAAAAACCCATTATTTTCATGCACTTGAGTTTTCGCTGCTTTCCCCACCCTCCTTCCTTGACAAATAGTACTCCTACTTCTACTGAAGCACATGGTTGTACAAAGATTAAATAAGTAAAGAAAGAAACAAACTAATAAAAAAAATACCCCCAAATGAAGCCACATAAACATTTTTAAATGTGATAAGATTTGTTTAACTAGCACCAAAGTATCAATCAAAATGATCCAGCCTACAAGAATGATAACTGAAGGATCATGTGCCACTGAGAACTGGAATAACACTGAAAATTTAGCTTTACCATTACAAAAATAAATTAGATTTTAAAATTATTTAATATTTTACAATTTTACTGTTTTTATTTAGGACAATTGATCAAATAAATGTAACCTCAATGAGCACGAGAGACTTCAGAAGCATAAGAAAATCCTGTAGACCACAAACTTTTAAACACTACTATATAAAAGTATTTTAAAAATATCTTAATATATCTCCAAACCTCCCAGTCCCCCGAAACCTTGAAAGAGTGTTTTGTAGCACTCACCTCCGATCAGCATGGTGCAGATAGAGAAGATCTTCTCTGAGTCGGTATTGGCTGAGACGTTGCCAAAGCCCACGCTGGTCAGACTGCTTAAAGCGAAGTACAGCGATGTCACATATGAGCTGCGGATGGAGGGTCCTCCTCCCAGTACGGCTCCAGTCTGTCCAGCATTTGAAGGGGCCGCTGGCGCTGTGCCTGTGGAGTTCAGCTGGCTGGAGTTCCACACCGGCTCATGAGCCACCAGATCAGAGCCGTTCCACTGGCTGGAATTAACCACCAGGCCGTCCAGGATGGTGGGGCGCAGAGAGTCAGGAATGAGGGATGCGAGAGGTGACAGGAAGTATGGAGTGCCCAAACGTTTGCCCAGCTCATGCAACCAGCCTACGAGAAAGAGAAGGCAATGTTACATTAAGGCAAGGTAAAAAAGAAATAGAAGCATGCCTTCCAAGCTGATGGATTAAATTCATTCAATCCTTCATTTTCTTTTCGGCTTACTCCCTTTATTAATCTTGGCACGCCACAGCGGAATGAACCGCCAACTTATCCAGCATATGTTTTTAAGCAGCGAATGCCCTTTCAGCTGCAACCTAGCACTGGGAAAAATCCATACACACTCATTCACACACATTCACTACGCACAATTTGGCTTATTCAAAATGCCAACTGACCCAGGCGAGGCTCGAACCAGTGACCATCTTGCTGTTAGGTGATTGTACTACCCTCTGCGCCATCGTGCTGCTATGGATTAAATTAAAAATTGGAAATGTTTTTTATATGTTTTCTAAAATTTTGAATATGTAAATGAGATATTATTGTATTAAATATGTGCTTATTTGCATATATTTCTAGCACAGACATTTGAAAAAAAAGTAAGCCGGCTTAATTAAAAAAATTTTTTGACACATTAAAGCCAAAGGTTTTTACAGAGGGGATTATTGGAATCTTGTTTTATAACATCAATTAGAAAATACTGTGAACAGTCAAGAAAAAATAAACATATATGACCACATCCCTCTGGAAATCCATCAGAATACAGATTTGAATAAAACTGTGATGCTTGGTGTATGTCAGTGCTGTTAAAGTGTGTGTGTGTGTGTGTGTGTGTGTGTATAATATAATCCATGCTGCTTTAAGAGCTTGAACATTTAAAGTGCAAGACAACAAAACTGTGGCACATGCTTAAACTAAATATAATGTTATAATTCGATCAATAAAAAAATAGAATAACAAAGAAATACATACAATTAAATTAAAATTATAAAAAGTAAAATCAATAAATTAAAACCACATGAATAAGTACAAAAAAAGAAAGGAAATCATGAAAAAACCCTAACACATCATACTTTTAGTTTGGAGACTGTTATTTTTTCATGGTTTTATTTAAACTAATTAAATTGTCTTCAATGTTTTTAAATGTTTTAATTCACCATGATAACAGTTGTCAGTTAATACATTAATAATGATGATGATAATAATAATAATTATGACCATAATATCATTAATGATAATGACCATATTATTATTATTATTATTATTATTATTATTATTATTATTATTATTATTATGGCCATAATTATTAATAATAGTATGGTCATATTCATTAATAATAATTAGGACCATAATATTATTCATAATAATGACCATATTATTATTATTATTATTATTATTATTATTATCCAAAATAAAAAGTCAGTGATTACATGGCCCCTGTTAGGTGTCATATTTGTCTTTCAGAAATGGAGACTGGAGAAATGGTTGCTGTCCATGGTGCTGAACCCGATGCATTTCATACATCAGTCAGTTTGCAGCAGGCTGAACCTCTACTTTACACTCTACTTTTGCTCCCTGTAGGACTGATTGTGTAAAATTTCTTCATCTCACTCTTCCCTGCCCCGGCTTGTTTGTCTGTAAGCTTGCAGTTTTAAGGCAGTGCAGGCACCACATGTGGCAGTAGAAGTGATGTTTGTGAGAGAACCAGACAAACTGACAGGGGAGATGGAAATAAATGAAAGGTCACTAAAGGTATGGTGGAGAATGAGGGAGAAGTACCACCAGAGTAAACACAATCACACATAAGAAAAGCCCCTTCACAAACACACAAACAGACAGACATTCACACAGCAACCAGCTCCAGTTTACTAGACCTTTCTCTTGCCCACATACACCAGTAAGCCAGGTCATTCAATTGCCAACAGTTAGGTCAAATAAAAATATTTACACTGAGAGAGACTTGATAATAATATTGCATTTGAATTGCACAAGGTTGCCTCAATGTACAGTATCCCCCAGTGTCAGTTTTATCATAATTGCTTTAATACTTCATATACGTACACAATAGTTGTGGCTTTTATACTATTTGACTTTTATAATAGACACTTAACAAACAACTTTAGTACAACCTCAAATCAGAAAAATTGACACGCAAATGAAAAAGAAGAAAGAATAAATTTCTTTTGACTTGTATATCATTGCAGACAATACAACAGCACATGTGTTCCTCACGACTTTTATTATTATTTTTTAAATAAACATGTCTTCCAATTTTGGTTCTTGCAAAACATTTTTAAAAAGTTGGAACAGTAAAGCATTTACCATTTTGCAATGTTACCATTCCATTTTACAACACACTAAAGACAACAAATGGTGTTTCAGGTCTAATTTTGTCCCATTCTTTCAGCAAAAAAGACTTTCTTAAGGAGGGCAACAGTACAGTGTCTTCATTATCGCATTTTAAGCTTCAAAATGTGCCACAGGTTCTCTATTGGAGACATGTCAGAACTGCAGGAAGGCCAGTCTTTGTTGTCACATTTTGAGCTTCAAAATGCGCCACCAACCCTCTATTGGAAACAAGTCGGGACTGCAGGCAGGCCACTTTTCATTGTCACATTTTGACACATTTTAACTCTTAACCATGAATTTGAGTACAACCCCAAATCAGAAAAAGTTGAGATAGTATGGAAAACGTAACTAAAAAAGAAAGAAGTGACAGCACATTATTTAATGTGTTCCTCATTACTTTTATAATTACTTTTTTAAATAAACAGGTCTTCCAATTCTGGTTCTTGCAAAACATTTTTAAAAAGTTGGAACAGCAAAGCATTTACCATTTTGTAATGTTGCCATTCCATATTACAACACATTGAATACACCAAATGGTGAAGTGTTTCAAGTCTAATTTTGTCCCATTCTTCCTGCAAACAAGTCTTTCTTGCAGGCAGGCAGGGCAGTCTTCATTGTCGCATTTTGAGCTTCAAACTGCGCCACATATTCTCTATTGAAGACAGGTCGGGAGTGCAGGCTGGTCAGTCAAGTACCTGTATCCTCTTCCTTCACTGTCAGGACATTGTAATGTGTGCAGAAAGTGGTTTAAAATGGCTCCTGTTCCAACTTTTTTTAGAATGCGTTGCAGGTCAGAATAACAGGAAAGGATGTACTGTATATTTCCTAATGAAATAAAGTTAATCAGAAAAAGCATTAAACATTTTGTGTTCATATTATCTGCAATGAAATACAAGTCAAAGTACATTTGCAAATCATTACTTTCTTTCTGTCTTTGTGTTTTCAATACTGTGTCAACCTTTTCTGATTTGGGGTTGTACAATTTATATTACTGTACATTCATAAACATACTTTCAAGCGTGTACACTGTGCAACACTGTGCAAAGCTTCCTCCAGACACAGATTTGTGCCAGCTTTTCTGTCATGTTACTTGTATAGAGTAAAAAAATGTGTTTTTGACATTTCAATTGCACATGATGACAGAGTGCATAATTATTTGTGAAAAACAGCCATCAACGAGTGCTTGACAAGCTAACGGCCTCCAGAATGAATAGTCCAAATCTAATACATGCAAAGAGCATTGCAGAAGATTAATTTATACCAGTAAAGCCTCTGATGGAGTGGCCTAAACATATATGTTACATATCCTGCTATTTATTAAAGATGAAAATCTTCCTAGAAAATCGCTGATAAACGAAAAAAAAGTGTCCAAACCACAAGCCCAAAGGTTACCCTAGACTGTAAATCACTGCATGTGTTAAAAAGAGCTAGTACACATGGGAGCATACTGGTCTAGAATATCTGATGTATCTAATGTTGGCAACATGTCTGCACATTATTTATTTATGGCGTGGAAAGCCCATGGGTGATGGTATAGGTGACAGCGGTAAAGATTGCTCTTTGGGGAGATATAAGAGTCATAAAGAGATTAGATTGCGTCAAGATGGTGTTAGGGAGAGTTATGGGTTAAATAAAGGGAGATGAACTGGGTAGTTCAAGTAGAAATGGAGAACATCGGTGTTGGTTGAGGAAAGAGGATGAAGAAGAGGATATTGCAAATGCTTGAGATGATGAGATTGAAAGGATGATGTATTTTAGGGCTCCAGAGCTGTGACACCAGTGCAACAAAGATCCATTGGCTTGCATCACATGTGTAATATTAATAACAGTATGTTTTGTATATGTATTGTATATAATGCAAATGTATAAACAAATTAGCAATAATATATATTATATATATATATATATATATATGTATTAGAAAATTAAAAGTATCTTGAACTTGAGATTGTTAAAATAGCAACCTAATTTTTTATACATTGACCATAATAAGGACATCTGTAATGCCTCACTAAGCCAAAGTAGCCTAAGGTTTTTATGGTATTTGTTAGGTAAAAGACAGTAACCTAAAAACATTTAGCATAAATCAAGGTGTTACATGTCATGAATTTAGTTATTTATGCTATTTTGTTGCCGTCTTTTTTTTTGAGTGAGTAGACTCCTTCGCACCTGTGGATCATTTACCGCCGGCGTTATAAGAGCTCATGCAGCAGAACTTCAGTGAAGGAGATTTGAGCGGCCATCCAGACGCAGAGTTGTGCCCCATTCTGTGTTCAGACTTAGTTTAGTTTGTGTTTTCTCCCAACCCTTGGTATACTTTGGGGTGATCTGTTAATAAAACCCCTAGACCGATCCATTTGTGTTTTCCCTCATTTGATGTTGTGACCATGGTTGTTACATTAATTGGAGGCTCACCCAAAAGGTTTCGATTATGCTTTTAAGCTGTTCAATGTTGGAGGAAAGTAGTGTGGCCTCCCCGTTCATTTTTGTGATTCGTCTGGATATACTTTTGTGTGAGCGAACGCTTGCATCCCATGTGTGGATATTTACCCTATTTAATTTAGTGACCAGGTAGGTTATGGATCTGCCACTTTGTTATTTTGCCTTTCTTATTTTTGTGGTCATTATTTTACAGTTTAATGCAGCCTTTAACTTTTGTTAAAGTACTTAAAAGTAATAAAAGTAAAAATATGTTTATATATGTATGTATGTATGTGTAACGAAGGGCCTGACACAGAGGGATCCATTTGCAGTATATTTAT